TTTTGTATGCATTTCTATGGGTGGACATTCCATGGTTCTGGCTCCTGCAATATTTTAGGGTCTCCAGTGTAATATAGGCTTCACTTCATAGCTTCATATAATGACCTCTCTGAGAATTCACACAGGGACTCCCTAGAAGCCCACCCGTTCTAGCACATGTCTGACCTTAGTGGCCTTAACACAGAGAAAGATTTCATGAAGTCTTTACAATATCCTTCAAGACTCTAAACAGAACTAGCACTACTTGAGTGGAGCTTCTTCTTCTTTGGATGGAACATGGCCTGATCCTTGAATTGAATTTGTATGACCTTAACAGATAATTCCCTTAGGCCAATTCCTCTAAAATCAGGAACATGACAAGGCTGCCCTCTCCATATCTCTTCAATATTGTACTAGAAATTCTAGCTATAGCTAAAAGACAACAAAAAGAGATCAAGGGGATCCAAATTGGAAAGGAAGAAGTCAAACTGTCTCTATTTGCAGATGATATGATAGTTTACATAAGTGACCCAATAAACTCTACCAGGGACCCCTACAGCTGATAAACAAATTCAGTAAACTAGCAGGATACAAGATAAACTCAAAAAAAAAAAAATCAGTAGCCCTACTCTTTTCAGACGACAAAGAGACAGAGAAAGAAATCAGAGAAACATTCACCCTTTACAATAGCCACAAGCAACATAAAGTATCTTGGAGTAACACTTACCAAACAAGTAAAAGACCTATATAATAAGAACTTTGTGGCTCTAAGGAAAGAAATTAAAGAAGATACCAGAAAATGGAAATATCTCCCATGCTCTTGGATAGGTAGGATAAACATAGTAAAAATGGCAATCTTGCCAAAAGCAATCTACAGATTCAATGCAATCCCCATTAAAATCCCACCACAATTTTTCACCGACCTTGAAAGGATAATAATCAACTTTATATGGAAAAACAAAAGACCCAGGATAGCCAAACAACCCTATATAAAAAAGAACTTCAGGAGGCATCACCATTCCTGACTTTAAGCTCTACTACAGAGCTATAGTTCTGAATACAGCCAGGTATTGGCATAAAAATATACAGGTAGACCAATGGAATCAAATTGAAAATCCTGATATTAACCCACACACCTATGAACACCTGCTTTTCGACAAAACAGCTAAAATTATACAATGGGGCAAGGACAGCATCTTTAACAAATGGTGCTGGCACAATTGGATGAGGGTGTGTAGAAGACTGCAGATAGACCCATGTCTGTCGCCATGTATAAAACTCAAGTCCAAATGGATCAAAGACCTCAACATCAATCCAGCCACATTGAACCTCTTAGAAGAGAAAGTAGGAGGTACCCTTGAACAAATTGGTATAGGAGACCGCTACTCCCTGAATATAACTCAGACACTGAGAGTAACAATTAATAAATGGGACCTCTTCAAATTTAGAAGCTTCTGTAAGACAAAGGACACTGTCAACAAGACCAAACGGTAGCCCACAGACTGAGAAAAGATTGTCAGTAATCCTGTATCTGACAAAGGGCTGATCTCCAAAATATACAAAGAACTCAAGAAACTAGCCAACAAAACACCAAACAACCCTATTAAAAATGGGGTACAGAACTGATGAAAGAATTCTCAATAGAGGAAATAAAAAATGCTGAAAGACACTTAAGAGAATGCTCCACATCCTTAGCTATCAGGGAAATGCAAATCAAAACAACTTTGACATACCATCTTACACCTGCCAGTATGGCTAAAATTAGAGACACCAATGATGACTCATGTTGGAAAGGATGTGGAGAAAGGGTATCGCGGTAAATATGGATCAGGATAAACAAATAGGCCGAATAGATGTTTATTCAGGGAGAAATAACTTACAACCTAGACAGATGAACACCAGGAAATTCAACCCAATCCTCTCCTGTCTGAGTCATGCCAGAAAAAAAAGCGCCTTTCCTGGCCCCCTCCAACCTCCTTCCACAGGTCACTTCCACCCATGGCTCCACTCCCCAATGGGCGTGGTCAGTGCCACAGAAGGACTATCTCACTACAAAAAGGGAATACTCCTCCACTGCTGGTGGGAGTGCAAACTCATACAGCCATTTTGGAGATCAGTATGGCGGTTCATCAGGAAAATTGGAATTAGTTTACCACAGGACCCAGCAATCACCCTCTTAGGCATATACCCAAATGATCCACATCCATGCAACAAAGACATCTGTTCAACTATGTTCACAGCAGCACTATTTGTAGTAGCAAGAACCTGGAAGCAACCTAGATGCCCCTCAGTTGAGGAATGGTTAATGAAGATGTGACACATCTACACAATGGAATACTACTCTGCAGAAAAAAAAAATAATGGTATCTTGAAATTCTCAGGCAAGTGGATGGCACTTGAAGAAACCATCCTGAATGGGGTAACCCAGTCACAAAAAGAGGAACACAATATGTACTCATTCATATATGGCTTTTATAAATAGAGCAAAGGATCACCAGCCTATAATTCACACCACCAGAGCAACTAGGATACAAGATGTGTTCTAAGAGATTCACATAAAGTCCCTCATTGAACCGGGAAGAGATAAATCCCCCCAGAGCACAGAGGAAATGGGGGGGGGGCAGTGAATGGAGAGAGAAGTAGGAGAAAATGAGGAGGAGGAAAGGAATACACATGTGACCAGGAAAATTGAGCCTGGTTCGGAATAGAAAACAGGAGAGAGAGAGAGAGAGAGAGAGAGAGAGAGAGAGAGAGAGAGAGAGAGAGAGGGAGAGAGAGAGCATAAAAGAGGGAGCCAATACTGGTTTGAAGATAAAATTGAACAGAAAGAAAGGTTTAGAGAGCTACAAGACTGCTGCCAACTAACAATTTGAGCTTCTGTGGATAGCGAGATCAGCAACTAACTTATCCATGGAGCCCTCAACTAATATCTGTTGGAAACAGGAGCAAACACCCATACATAAACACTGTGTCAAAGTAGGTCCCTAAGCTTTTTAATTTAACAAGTTGCCTGATCAGCTGAGTGGAGTCTGTTATTGGAGTCTTATATTTTTCTGCCCAAACTCCAACGTTACATTTCCTGGTGACCCTTTTACTCCTCATATTGTAAATTGTACATTTTTCTTTTCACTGCTTGTTCTTTTTATAGTAGTCATGAATAAAACTGGGTATGTTTTCCATGATCAGACTTTGAAGGCCCATTAAGCTCCTTTTATAAAGTGTTTACCAGCCTTCCTAGTCCACAGCCTCAATGACTTCTTCAAAAACAAGCATGGCCAGGATAGAAGAAAACATTTAATGGGGCCTTACAATTGCAAAGGGTGACTCTAAGATCATCATGGCAGATAGCAGGGCAGCAGACAAACAAGAATGGTGTTGGAGCCATAGCTAAGAGTTTTTATGTGATACACAAGCATAAGGAAGAGAGATAGGTAGGCAGAGCTAACTGGGATTAATATGGGCTTTTGAAATCTCCAACTCCTACTCCATAACACACTCCTCCAGCAATCTCCTAATTCTTCTCAAACAATTCCACCACCTCTTGACGACACAGCATGAAAACATATGGGTCTAGAGGATCCATTCTCATTCAAACCACCACAAATATCCTCCTGTCACGTTCCCCACTAAATGCTATGATTATTTCAAGGTATGCTCAATGCATCTGAACAAATCTAGTACATTTCCCAGTTTAATGTCCTCTTTTCTCTTCTGATAATGAACACCCACTTTTCTTCAAGTTAATATATTTGAACATTACTAAATTAGCCTCTGATGATTCCAGGACCAGTGGTATGTTGATATATATGCAAGCAGATCACTCTTAAACATAAAATTAAAACAAATAAATTAATTTTAAAAGAGAAAGAAAAGGAAGGTAAGAACATAAACTTGTATATTACAAACAACTTTTCTCATACTACTTGTACCATTTTTCTCATCAATCTGTTGAAAACATTGAAATCTGTAGAATGTTTTGACTATGTTGATATAGGTCAGGACAAGGAGGTAGTTATAAAATGAGCTTATCTTGGACAAAGACAATGCAATTATGAGACAATACAGAGAAATATGGAATCACAAACTACATAGGTCAAGATCTGGCAATAGGGTGGTAAAAAGCAAAGAGAAACTTGTTATTAGCTTGAGGACCACCTATTTCATATTGTGAAGTCATACAATTGCTACTCTGAATAATCAAATGATTCTGTAACTAACAAGACATATTTTTGGTACCCAGTGAGAGTGTCGCAAACCCTTTGGGAAATTTGGTTTGCTGTATGTTTCCTAGGTAGAGATAGTTATCAGCACAAAACAAACATTATCATGCTTGTTTAGATAAAATTATGTAAACCTTTTTTACTTTGTAACAATTGTGTTGATAAAGTTATAAATTGCTATAGGTCCATGCATTTAAAATGTATAGTAAACAAGTACTTTACATTTTTCCAATTTGAGCTTTGATACTTTCAGTGATCCTACTTATAAAATACAATGGCATATTATATTCTACATAGAGTTATGATATAAAGTTTTATATATAGACTACTGGTATTGCAGGTTATTTCAGCAAGGTCAAAGTCCCATTATTTTAGACATTCTGTCTACAGAGAAGAATTCCTGAGCTAATATTTTTTTTTTTTTGATAGAGAAAAACATCCAAACTCTAGAAATGTCAATGCCTGAATATTCAACATTTCTTATATACATGAGTGTGTTTGAAGTCATGGACAATATTCCCCTCTACCTTGTGATATGCAAGTACCATAGTACTGTACAATCTGCATCCTATTTTTATTATAGGGAGAAAATAATTGGTAATTTTTGGGGCTTTTGATTTATATTTGGTGAGTAAATGCTTCTTCCTTCAGAAGTCTTCTGAAAACAAACAGTACAAGGTAACCTCAGCCAGATGTAGGTGAATTCTTTAAACTATGAATCAATTTCCTGCTGTGAAGCAACTACATTTTGAATGCATGAAGTATCTTTAACTACAAATCCTTTTCTGTGTCTTCTATCAGCAGTTGCAGCATCCAGTGATCAAAGCCAGATTCCCATCATTGCAGTGTCAGTGACAGTGGGAGTCATCTTGTTGGCAGTGATGATTGGCTTCCTCCTCAGTGGCAGGTAAGAGAGAAAAGAGTTTCTGAACTTTTGCAGCTGCTTCTCTCTCTCACCTTGATCCAATCGGTGGCTTGTGGCTGTAAGCACATCCTAAAACAAATCAAAGTAGCAGCATGCCAGTAGATAATGTCTATAAGTGCCTTAGTACATAAGTTTTATCTTGTCCATATTCCTGCCATTGTTATCACATACGGTCTCTCCTTAGACATATTCTCTACTCTCCATGGCAATAGTATTAACATGATATTGCTTACTCTGTGATTTATAGACTGATACAACTGTTTCTAACACAATGAATGTTAATTCTGTGTATTTTCTATCTCAAAAGAATTTATCATTGCCTGATTCAGTTTGAATAACTGTTTAAGGAGACAAAGGAGGTGCAGGACAGTCATTTGAGGAATAGGACTAGTATTAATACATGGCATACATTCTAGAGTTTAAAAATAATTTATAGGATATATGCAAATGTGGCAATAACTGCTTTAATTTCAATTTCTGAGTGATTTCAACATGGACACATCAATTCTCATATGTACTTACAGAATTTGAATTTTACTAAATGTTATGAAGACAGATAATAGAATTCTATGTTTAGCAGGCCTACATTTTCCAGTTTGAAAATGGGAGATAGACCTCCAATAGATATTTCACCAATGTGTTTTATGTCAATAAGCTGAGCAAAATAAATCTTCCTAACAGTATATATGAATGAGTAAATAAATAATATATTGTTTATCTGTAGCAAATAGATTTTATGTATATTTAGTAATGAGGGCTGCCTTTTATATGTAATGTGATGTTATTAGACCATTATGTAAACAAACAAACATGAATTTGACAACATGGGAATGTAAAATAGCAGGTTCAACAAACTCAGGAAACCAATTTATCTTCAATTTTCTGAAAAACCTGTTCTGCAGTGCTTTACTTAGCAATGATTCTATAACAGTACTTATTCATTTTTGGAATTTGTAACTGAGGGATAGCTCATATACTTTGAGGAAGATTAAAGGGTACCTGGTCTTTCCTGCCTTTCTTTCCTCTTCTCTCTGAACTTCACTGAGAAAGAAAATGAGCCAACACTTCTGTTCTCGGTAGGAAAAGCCAACTTCACTAAACCTTGGTGAATAGCATTTTCACCAAGAAGTAACTATAGGTTCGAATGCTCTATGAACAATTTTTGTTTGTCCATGAAAGTTCTGCATTTTATTAAGCTAGCATTCATTAATTTTAATGGATGTTTGGAATTTATCTGTTTACTTTTTGACAGGAATGTCTCCAGCTTTTGTACTTTATTCTGAATATAAAACTTAGTTCATGCTTGAACACATCTACTTATCTACCACCAGTTTAAACGAGGTGAACTTAAAGGCTTTTTTTATCTTGTTAAAGTCTTTGAATGTAACAACTTTGGTTGGTCTTAAGTATTGTCATCTGGTAATAACGGAATTTTCCTGAATTAACTCAATTGACATCTGTTAAACAAAATGTAACACAAAGAAGAAATGTCACCAAAACTTTGCACATATTTAAGTGATTATACTACGGATATGCTGTAAAATGTTAATATATATTTTAAATATATATACACATACACGTACAAATACACACACACACATACACACACACACACACACTCTTCCAGTGATGAAACATAATGACCAAAAGCAAGTTGGTGAAGAAAAAATTTACTTGTCTTACATTTCCTTTCATATTCCATGATGAAAGTAAGTCAAAGTAAGAACTCAAATGGGGAAGGCAGCTGGAGGCAGGAATTGACACAGAGATGATAGAGGTTTCCTGCTGTTTGGCTTGCTCCCTATGGCTTTTTCAGTCTGCTTTTGAATGGAGACCATGACTACCAGCCCAAAGATGGCACCACCCACAATGATCTGAGTCTTCCCCAGACAATCATTCATTTAAAAAAATATCCTACAACAGAATCTTATAGAGGCCTTATATACTGAGGTGCCCTCCTTTGAGTTATCTCCAGCCTCTGTGTCAAGTTGAAAAAAAATATCCAACACATTTCCTCTCTGCCATTACAGCAAAAAAGGTGGATGGAATTCTGTATATATGTTCCTCTTACTGGTTGATGAATGAAACACTGTTTAGCCAAAAGCCATTAGAGGCAGAAAGATAGTCAAGGCTACAAAATGAGGAGAATTCTGGGTAGAGAGTCAAAGAGGTGCTGGAAAGGGATGCCATGTAGCAGAGGAAGGAATACCAGTTCCAGACCTGCCTCCAGTAAGCCAAGACAACATGGAAATAGATTTATAGAAACTGGTTAATAATTAAGACAGAGCTAGCCAATAAGCAGCCTTAGAAATTGACCAACAGTTTAATAATTAGTATAGCATCTGTGTGTATGTCTGAGGCTGAGAATGGTGACACGACCTGGCAGGACAAATAAAACTACAGCAACAATTGATAAACTTTTATACATGCCTAAGGTTTTCAAGATTTCTCTCTCACTTTGCACTCTCTTTTCATAGTTTAACTTCTTGAATAAAATAATATAATCAGATGTCTCAGGTACACATTTGCCAATATTTTAGTTAATTGAACATAATTTGATTTCTCAATAGTACAAAATAAAAGATTCAAATTATTTTAATTTGTTGCAGAAAGTAATACTAGTGTATATAATTTGATAATTTTGATCAATATGTTAATTAAAAGAAAATACAATTGTAATGATGGCATTTTGAAATTGTATGCATCATACAGAAAAACAAAACCTTTAGAATATGTCATAGTGAATAGTTTACAGGTAAATTAATGCAAATTATTGTTAACCATTTGTTCTATTATACATTCAAGATAAAAGGAAATGAAACACAAAGATTCAAAACCCTTTTAGGCATTGCTTGTCAATTTTTTAGATACTTTCCAGCTAGATATAGATTTAGAATGTATGTAATTTTGTTAATCTTCAAAAAATGTATTATTCTTTATTAAGTGGAAAATAATCCTCTCTTGGAAAGGTGTTCATTATTTCCAAAGGACTTTTACTTCAAGGCTTACATTTCTTTTTTTTTTACTGTATTATTTCTCAATAATGTTTAAACTCCCATATGCCATTAAAGAAAAATTGACACTCTTTCAACAAGCTATGTCTAATTATCCAACCAGATTAAAACTTAATCCCTTTGAAATGTAAGCAAACTTTAACTGTTCTTTAATCTTTCTCTTTCATCTCTAAGAATATTGAACATAGAACAGTTTTCTATGGCATGATTTGTGTTTCTTCCCTTACATTTAATGTATATAATCAATGTAGCTATTTAATCTGTGGGTTTTGTGAGACTTTCATTTCCATAAGTCTGTAGCTAACTGGGAGACAGCTTCTCACTATTGCTTTTTCTGTTTTTGTCTTTCTTTAACTTAGCTCTTTTCCCCTTTAAATTAAATTTCCCCTTTAAAACACAAAGTCCTACTAATTTCTACAAATTGACTCTCACACATTTCTTTGTCTAATACAAATCAAATTATAATATAAGGAAGAATTAAGAACAAACTGAATTTGCCTATACAGAAGTGACTGTTTAAGTTGATTCTCTTAAATTGCATGTGATTAAATAATGTTTCGTTTTATTTCTGAAATCTAAATTTCCCATATGTTCTCATAATTTGTTACATCTCACAAATATTGGAGATTTTTTTCTTTTTACTTCAAATTGATTCTTGGGGAACATTCAAAGGTAAGAAACACACATTATTGCATACATGCTCAGTCATATATATTTATATTTGCTGTTGAACATAAAACCCAAAAGCTTAAAGCCATTTGCCAGTTTTGAAATTAAAAAATAAGAAGCAAGGAAAACATCCTGAAGAAGAAAAGGGATTTGTTTTTTCTGCATAGTCTTTCATGAAATTTTTAAGACCATTCATTTGTGACTCCACAAAGATGTTTCTTAGATGATAAATTTAGTTGAAATATGGCTTTTTGCCTAGAAAGCATTACTTTTGGGACCAAAATTCTCTTGTGTGTTTTGAGTATATGAAGAGTGTATAGATATGATATTACCTTTATCTCCCATTAAGAAACTGACACTAACTTGTGAAATGACTTGTTGAATGCCGAGGTGAGTTGTTCAGCAATGAATGCACATTGTATATGTAGCCTGAATTGTAAGATTTAAGACATAGGGTGACAGTGGAAACATAGGCAGTAGCTTTTTATGAAACATTGTGTTAGCTATATCCTCTTTTACTTGAAAAATAACAGTAAATTTTTGTGATTTGCAGTTTTCTTCTAAGTCCTTAACTATATCAGATTGCAAATAATTCAGACATCACAGATATCCATTACAATGATTTATTGGGGATTCTATTACATGTCACAGCCAAGGTTCCTCCTGTGCATTTGAGATAAGAAGAGCAATCATCTTTGTTCAAATATTTATCTTTTATTTCAGTAGACTTATCTGTAAACATACTTTTATTTTTTTTTTCAGCACCCACGTGGAGTTTATTGAGAGAGGGGAGAGAAAGAGGGGGTGGCAGGAGAGAGAGAGGGAACAGAGAGAGAGAGCAAAGAATCAGAGAGAGAGAGAAGCACTTGGTGTACTTGCTTTAAAAGAGGCTTGGGCATGCATAACTGAGTCCTCTGGCCACAAGGCAAAGCTGATGTAGAGATGACATGGCCATGAGTGTCCTGCCCATCGGTGGGGCGGGGGTCAGCAGGCTGATAGTTCCTAACATTCCCACCTCTTATTGTTATTAAAAAGGTGGGGGTTGGGCGTGGCAGGTTAGGGAACAAGGACCTTGAGTTCTGGAGACTGCTTCCTGCTGAATTGGGGGCATAGTCTTTGGGGGATCCGCAAAGACTGGGGTGCTTCCACGTCCTGGTAGATGGTTGTTTCATCACAGTTTTGACAGTATGGGGCTCTGGCGTCTCTTTGAGACCTGGCAAGATGTTAGCAAAACAGAAGACAAGGTTAGGTTTTTTTCTCTTAGGTCTTAGTGCTTAATGGGAGAAGTGTGAGGTGGGG